GGGGGGGAGCGATGCAGATGCGGACCAGTCGTTGTATTTGATGGCAAATCGTGAAAAAGCTACGTGAGGGTTGAATCCAATAAAATAATATGAAATACGAGTTTTAAATGTTTCATGAATTTGAAGTGTTCTAATGTTCACTGCAGATTTGTGGTCAAATTGATGTGCTATGACAGGTTCCGGGTTTCCAATTGTACTGACTTTTTTCTGACAAAAATCCTGATTAGTTTTTAACTAGACAAAAAAGTAAGCAGTATTCCACAGCTTGGGCGGCAACTTCCACCTACTTTACGGTCTGTAACAATGATCATGGAGGATTGTATCTGCCTACAACATACTATGGTCACTTTTCCTCCCCCCACCTGTTATCTCCTGTGCTGTGAAAAGTGGAACCTTACGCTAGTCCCACCATAGTGTTCATATTCCACATTTATAAGACAAGTCTTTGGTCTTCTGTGACAGCAAATAAAGGAGTCACCATGATTAAAGTCAAAACCAGCTTTATATTTTGGGGGAGAAATATTTGACTGTTTTCCAGCTAGAAGTGGGAAGTACTTGCACATCATGCAGATAAATTTAAGTTCCAGTAAATGAATAATACATTCTGAATGTCTGATCGGACTTTTATGTTGATGAAATGGGAGTGAATCTGGTGTCAAGGAGGCAAGCAAAAGCAATACATAAAGGCAGCCATCCTTTAATTACATAACACTGTACAAAGAAAGGCTGCAAAGCCTGAACCTAATTTATGAGTTGGAGTTGGGTCCTCGCCTTCTGCCAAAACCTTGGACAACATTAACGAAGCGACGGTTGTACTGGATACGCCTCTTGCAGCGACCAGTCTTCTTCTTCTTCTTTTCTTGTTTCTCCACCTTAGGGGTCTGGCCCTTAACTTTACCAGCACGAGCAAGAGAACCGTGAACCTTACCTGGAAGAGTTAAGATAAATTAGCAAGTTGGGAAAAAGCAGGTTGTCACAAGGGTAAGAAGAATGTCTACTTGCGTCAGTGAAATACTGGAAAAATAATCATAGGGTTCAATTCTAAAATTTTCATCATTCACAAGTAAAAGACAAATTAGAGAATAGCTTCAAGAATAAAAATAACACTCACCTCCAAGAAGAGGGATTGTTACATCAATGCTCCCAGATACCAAACTCTCCACGGAGAGCTCATCATTCAAAGGAGAGCCCTCACTGTACAGGCAGAGGAGCTCTTTAGGAACATCCTCCAGGCGGGAAATTTGCTCCTGTAGACAAAACAAATCAGTTCAGTTCACATCTAACCACTTGAGACATTGTTGCTAAGGATCAGTACTTTAATAAGTCAAGCAACTACAAACCTTGATCTGAGAGATGGTCTCGGAGCCTGCACACTCCAGGACATGGTTAGACTGAGCTCGGATATGAAGCTGCATTTTGGATCCTACAAGAAAAAATGTGTCATGACAGGAGAAAATGGATATGCGCGATAACATCGCTAGGAGTTGCGGCATAAGGAACACCTGATACCCTAATGTTATGTCAAAGAGGCGGCCCATAACCTCAACCAGTGTAGATAAACTGCCGGGTAAATAAGAAGAGAACCAAATGTATACAGACGTTAAATTAATCAACTAGAATGACACGTTAATTTGGGCAATATATAATTTGGCACTGTAACCTGTCGATTAAATAATCATCATACAGCACTATAAAAACAGCGTGTAAAGGTTCACACGCCGGACACGGCACAGCTGCGATATCGTTGGCTTACGATGCAACAGTCATGTTAACCAGACGTATTAAAAAAGCAATGCAGTAGCTGGTTGAATCACTTGCGAAAATTCGTACGAAATTGTTCTAGAAGAAATAAATTTCAAATAAGCGTACCTCAACCACAAACACACTACAGATCCACGCTGCACAGAAAGACGGAAGCGGATCTTGCCTTGAAGTGAGAGCCCTCGACTATTCTTGGCCAAAGGATTGGTGATGGTGTACGGCCAGGGTTTTATACAAACCTAAAAAGTGTACGGCCTGCTTTGCTGGCGGTAGATTCAAATTTTGTACCTTAATGCTTCAAGTAGTATTTTTTTTTCCCCAAGTGGCATTGACAAGCTCTCTAATTTAGCTTTTTTATGTAGAAGATTACGTGTTTTATTGAAAACTCGCTGGAAAACTTGAGGAAGGATCAAGCAAATTCAAGCGTTCAAGCTTGTGGTGTTGGTATGCCGATTATTTGCCAGCAGAAGAAGTAGAGAATGTTGTGGTATTGTGGCGTTCGTATTTTCGTCCATTATTTATGCTATTTGTTTGCATAGTCTAGGAATTATGTTTGAACTTCTTCCGTACGTTTCTTGAAATCTAGGACGGTAATGATCGGGTATTTATTGTGTACATTAGAAAATATTGTTACTTTTCCTAACCTGTACACTTAGGTGTTTTATTTGTTTACAAAATTGCTTGTTTAAACTAAAGTAACCATTTGTTACATTTCCAGGGAAATTGAGGTTTTGAAACTCCTCAAATAATAGATGCCTTCATTTTGATCAACTTTGCCACACCAAAATGGTTGTGAGACCAAGAATTGTTCACAATCTTTACCGGAATTTTTTTGTTGTCTTCTCTCTGGTTCTCTTTCTACTCTTAGTATGTTTTCTGCTTTCACATCTGATTCCAAGTAGTTTTTATGATAGAGGTACCGTTACACATCATCCTATATCTTTACAAAATTTGGATCAAGCTCCTGAATTTGTGGTAGCAAATGATGCCACAGTATCTGCTTCACGGAACCCCCGTTGCAGCTACTGGGATTGTTTCAATGTATACAGATGTGGTAACAAAGGTATTCACCTTTTTCTGTTTAATTCTACATACTTTTCCTGATATTTTCATTACAGTTATGAGTTTTATTTTACTCTTTCAGGCACCAATAAAATTCTTGTATACATTTATCCAATACAAAAGTTTATTGATGTACAAGGTATTCCTATTGGAGGTATGATGTCTCAAGAAATGTATAGTATACTGGAAACTATATTGGAAAGTCGCTATTACACACCAGATCCAAGCCAAGCATGCATCCTTGTTCCATCAATTGATACATTGAACCAGAATAGGTTCAGACCAAAGCAGACATCACAGGCTTTAAAGTCATTACCATTGTAAGTGTATATGTAAAAAATTATTGCTCTGTGATATTCATGTTTGAATCTTAAACATCTCTTCAATTTGGTTTATAGTTGGAATAATGGAGAGAACCATCTTGTTTGGAACATGGTGCCAGGTGCTCCTCCAGACTACAGTAGTGTTGTAGAGCTTGAACTGGGAAAAGCCATGGTTGCTGGGGCAGGACTTTCATCATGGACTTATCGTCAAAGTTTTGATCTTTCTTTGCCAATATTCAGTCCACTGGCCAGTATTCTTGATGACTCCCACGGTCACTCAACTTACTCAAGGTAAATTAGCAGGCTTAGGTTATAAGTATTGAGTATATACTTACTGGATCACTAATGTCTTATTCCTGGAAAATTAGTGATTGAGATGCACTAAGGACTTGTTTCAGTGTTTTATAACTTATCATTGTTAATTAATTGATGTTGTCAGGTCATGGCTATTGGTCTCTGCTCAGACTAACATCCATGGAGAATATTTAACAGAATTGCAAGCTCTAGCCAGAGAGTCATCTCAGACTTTATTGTTGGAGCAATGTCCACAGGGCAATTATTCAGTGCGGTGTTCATCTGGTGGGGCTAGAAACATGTTTCTGTACCCTCAGGTATGAATCATGACAGCCCTTGCTCTTGTTTTCTGCATCCTTTAAATTTATTGGGTAGATGGTACTACACAAGCTCAATTTTAATCATCTGATCTTATTTTGCATTTCTTTGCAGATTCTCCAGGCTGCTATGTTTTGTTTGGTCATACGAGGAGCCCGTCTTGCACAACCAATTTTGTTAGAATCTATGGCGGCTGGATGTATCCCAGTTGTTGTAGCTGATTCCTTAGTCATGCCCTTCCAAGAAGTCCTTGATTGGAAAAGGTTAGAATTGAAGAATGTAAAATAAGCTTTACTAGCTCTAGCTAGTGGTTTTTCACTTGCATTTTGTTCTCAACAGGGCTGCATTGTTTATCACTGAGGAGGAGCTTAGTGGTTTATTGGATACATTACACACCATTTCGGATGAACGTGTCATTGAAATGCAGAAAAATGGGATGTACTTTTACCGCAATTATTTTTCCAGTATGAAGCAAATTACTAACACTGCCTTAGACATTCTCAACCAAAGGGTTTTTCCTCAAAACAGTAAATCATATGAAGAGTGGAATGTTCCACCAAACCCAGTAAGTCCAATTTTCTTGTTTTTCTGGAAGTCATTCCAAACAAATACAACATTTTACTCATTAGGTGTTTTTTGTATTGTTTAGTTGGCGGCACATTCTCCACTATTTCTGCAACTCACTGCTCCACGGTGGCAAGGGTTTACAGCTGTTGTATTAACTTATGATCGTGTTGAAAGTCTCTTCACACTCATTAAACAATTAGCTAAAGTACCAAGCCTAAGCAAGATCCTAGTTGTGTGGAATAATCAACGAAAATCCCCTCCTCATGGTATGTAGTGCTTTGCTATACTTCAAGGTTTTGAATTTCTCTCTCTTCAACTGCAGGCTTAGTGGCAGCATTTTTCATTTTATTCTATTTTTAGCAACTATGTGGCCTAAAGTTAATAAGCCTCTGAAGGTCATTCAAACAAAAGCAAACAAATTGTCCAATCGGTTTTATCCATATCCTGAAATTGAGACAGAGGCTATTCTAACAATTGATGATGACATAGTCATGCTTACATCCGATGAGTTGGAGTTTGGATATGAGGTGATGTAGAAGTACACATTTTCTACTGTTGAATATTTTTGTTTTTACTTAAACTGATTCTGTTCTTGTCATTTAGGTGTGGAGAGAATTCCCTGACAGAATTGTGGGATTTCCATCTCGAACACACAAGTGGGATAACAGCACAGGGAGCTGGAAGTATGAATCCGAATGGACTAATAACATATCAATGGTGCTTACCGGGGCTGCCTTCCACCACAAGGTTAGTAGATTGCGTTGCAGCCTTGCATGTTTTAATGCCCATAATTTCCGTTACAATAGGATTTAAATTATAAAGAGCATTATGTTTACAGTATTGGAGTTATATGTACACAACTGCAATGCCTGGTGATATTAAAGATTGGGTAGATTCTCACATGAATTGTGAGGACATTGCCATGAACTTCCTAGTTGCAAATATTACAAACAAAGCCCCTATCAAGGTATCAATGTTTTAAAATGCTTTACAATAGAAATTGAAGTTTGCAATTTTTTATCTACAAAACTTGCTTTTATTTCACAGGTGACACCACGGAAGAAGTTTAAGTGTCCAGAGTGCACAAACAATGAGATGCTCTCAGCAGATCTCAATCATATGGTTGAAAGATCTCATTGTATTAACAGATTTGCATCAATCTACGGATCAATGCCTTTAAAGACAGTAGAGTTTCGGGCAGATCCTGTGCTATTCAAGGACAACTTCCCTGAAAAGCTGAAGAGATTTAATGATATTGGAAGTTTGTGATCTTCATTGCTGAACCTTTATTACATTCCTAGTCATATCAGAGAATAAGTTCCATCACTAAATAAAGCACTATGTACTTTTTCACTTAAATTTCCAGCCTATCACAATGGTTTATTATCAATCGAAAACTTTCCGTGCGGAAGGATCCACCTAAAAGTGTCCCAGTTGTACCATGAGTCTATCCTAAAATTTTCATAGGCCTCTGATGAAGATTAAGACCCCCTAGAATAAGTAAAGACAGCCTGTGAGGGAGGCAGGCAAACAATATCAAGCATAGAAAGTGTTAAAATCAAGGAGAGTGGTATGTACTATGCTTAAACAGTATGTGAAAAAGTGGCTTTAAGGTGGGTTGTATTGTGTGACTGCAGACATAGTTGCAAGAATGAGTGCTGAGTGAATGATTCTTTTTTTCAAGACACTTTCTAATGTAAGTATCATTTGAAAGTATCACATTGAAAACTATTGATGCTGTGTGTATTTCACAATTAGCTGACTATCTACCTCTGAAGCTCTGTTTTAAAATCAGTGTAGGGAAATATTAGCTAGTCATTTTCATATCATGATAGATTATGATCTTGTTCTATAATTTATATATTTTCTGTGCGTTTTTACATTTAGTATTGCATATGTTGGGTCTGCTGGCATGTAACTCGCTACTGTACCATGAAAACAGTGACCGAAAAGGGAGACTTTCTCTGTTCGTTGTCCAGGATCTCTTTTCATTCCCATGTGCATTTTTTTAGTTTCTAGAATTTCTTAAAACAATACTTTCAATCATAAACTTTTGAAAAAGTTTTAGTGTTTTTCTGTAGTTTTACTTCATCATAGTTTTTTAGTGCCATTGTGATATTTCTTTGAACTATTTTTTTTTTTTTATCATCATCCTATTTTGGATATATTCTTGCTTAGGATTTAATTTTCGCACTTGACTAGTCATTGTTCCTGTAGGTAACTTAAGTGAGGAGATGATTAAAATTCCCACTCGGCGTTGATGATTTACGCGATTCACGCAATGTTTTTAGACTCGAGTAACATATCATTTGAACTGTCCAGTTCATATCACCATCACTCTGAGATACACAATGGTATGGGATATAGAAGCAATTTTCTTAGTTGTATTTATTTGTAAATAAAGTAACTGTAAGCAATTGTACTGGATCCCTGAAATTTAAATATTAGCCTGTCCGCCTTTAGTCTGTTGCCATATTATGCATATCAGTAATGATTGTTATCTTGTTACATCATCAATACTTGTTATTTTAATCTGTACATATGTAATATGTATTTTCTCCAATTGTCTTTTTTGTGGAAATTTTATTTATCGTTTGTTATGGCTCTATGAAGAGTAAACTTAATTTAGAAGCTCATTTTGTCTTATCTCCTGAATTGTCCTACAACATGAGGTATGGCTTAAGCGCTCCAGCTCTTTAGTTTCAAGCGGAGTACCTGGAACCAAATGGTGTTTCGGTTGTCCATTTCTTGAAACATGGTTCCGATGGCATTCAGAATTGAATCACGGAAAAGGAGGTACACATTGAACACCAATAAAGCAGCACTCCCAATAAACACGAAATACTCACTCTGAAGTTATTCTTCAGGGTTTTTGACTTTCATGGTGAGTGGCCCTTGATACACAGTCAAAAACTGCAAATCACTTCTTAGTGAGTTTTTGGCTGTACATTGCGAACAGAGATAGCGTTTGGTTACAAGCGCTCTGGTGGTGGCGCTTCCATAGAGATCATCCAGAAAGTACGTTCGTGATTCGCATGAATCTCAAGCTGTCATGGCGCCTGATAGGTAGGCAGCACGTTTCCAGCCGAGCATACGTGTACTGCGGGGTAGCCTACCCCGAATCTCGCAGGCGCCAAGCGCCGTGTGAATCTGAGAAAAACGGACCTTTCTGGTTGGTATACGTGAGTCTGCACATCCGTCTAGCTTGGAGATGCGGGTACTGACTGCACCCAGTCGTTTGGCCCTGTCCGCTGGAATTATGATCGTGGACTTTCCCACGGCTGCGTCCCCAGAGAATAAGGTCTTGTCAAAATGACATCAAGTGATGTCAGTGTCAAAATTTTGTCATTTCAGTGGCCAGATTTGACGTCATTTTGATACCATATGACATTATTTGATGTCTAAGTGTTATCACAGCAGGCCACCGAAATGACAATGTTGACACTGAGATCACTTGATGTCATTTTGACGAAACCGTTCTCTGGGTCGTGGCTGCAACTGTAGTTGACCCTACACACTCCACCAAACACTGATCACTGATCGCCTCGCGCGCGGTATCAGTAGTACCAGTCAGCGGATTCTCAATTTTTTTTCAGAATCCCTGCCCGAAGTACCCTTTATACGATACGAGAAGCATCGAGTGTTTTCGTATGAGAGTGTTTCGCTCCCCCCTTTTACAGGAAGCGACTAACGTTTGTCAATTTGACCTCATTAATTAACGCACGAATGAACATATCCTGGGATAGTATAGGACCTGACACGGTGCACCCAGAGACTCTGCTGCACGTTGACGGGTCACCTGAGGTCCTTCCCTGTCTGGTTGAAACTGACACGATGAGACCATTTCAACCTAACTTTGGCTCGAGGTGACGCTATCTATGGATGTTGACGCTAGCTGAATCGGTCGCCCGATGTCTTGGATCGGATTGGCCGGGGAACTGCAGTGCTGAGGGTAATGCTGACCTATATGACCTGTCGAAAAAACTGCCGCACGCCCGGGATAGAGCATTTGGGAAAAGGGGGGGGGGGGTCACCCAGCTTATTCGAGATCACTAACGCTCAACGCTGTTGCCAACTCCCCAAAATCGCTTGAGCGGAAATGTTCGACCGCTGAAAGTGCTTTGAGGAGCTCGAATTCGGTTGACGATAACGGGGGGTAAAATGCAGCGGATTGCAGTTCGTCCGGCGCTGTCTGGTATATAAGCCGAGGGCTGAGAGAAAATCGGCACGTTCACTCAACGTCCCACGGGTCAAGCAACATGTGGAAGGCACTGTTGTTCGCTCTCCTCGGTGAGTACCTCTGCCTGCGCCAGGCGAGCCGGCCCTCGCGCCCCACACGGCTTGTCCTCTTACTTCTTACATTTCTGCATTGCAGTCGCCGCGGCTTCGGCCGAGCACGGCTGGAAGTCTGGCTCCGAGTACAAGTACCAGGTGCGCGGTCGCACTCTGACCGCCCTGCACCAGGTGGCCAACCAGTACGCTGGTGTGCTCATGCGCGCCCAGCTGACTGTGCAGCCCAAGTCCGACAACCTCCTCACCGCCAAGGTCTCCAACGCCGAGTATGCCAAGATCCAGCAGCAGCTGCCCGCCGGCTGGGGAACCCCCATCCCCGAAAGCAAGCTGAACTACCACAGCCTGCCCGTCAGCAGCAAGCCCTTCCAGATCAAGCTCAAGAACGGCATCGTCGATGAGCTTATCGTGAGCAAGAACGTCCCTACCTGGGAGGTTAACATGCTCAAGGGTATCGCTAGCCAGCTGCAGGTTGACACTCAGGCCGAGAACCTCATCAGCTCTCGCATCAACAACAAGCCCAGCCACGGCTCCGTCAACGGTGTCTTCAAGACCATGGAGGACGACGTCACTGGCGAGTGCGAGGTCATGTACGACATCAGCCCCCTGCCCCAGTACCAGCTCCAGAGCCGCCCCGAGCT